TCCACATACAAATAGCCGATGTTTACAACCAACCTCCGTATACCCAAGCACTTAGACGGCTCCTTTCTCTCAGCGGTGTCCACTTGCCGAGGAATGTGTGCAAGCCAGGCATGAGGCAGGCTTGACTCAATCCCTGCATTACCCTGAAGATGACCACCCATATCCATCCACCCTGCAAAACGTTTGCTTATTCTTTTATTGAATTAATTGGCTATAGTCTTATAATAGTAAAAAATTGAGAAGAAAGCCTTGTTGAGTAGAATAAGACATACATAGTAAGCGGCCCAGGGCAGGCAGAAAGAGACGAGCGCATTAGCAAATAGCGCGCCGGCAAGAAGCCGCCGTGCCCCCAGACGGTGTGCGAGTTGTCCGGCCGGCACCTGCAGCACCATGTAGCCCCAGAAGAACGACGCCAGGATCGCGTCTTGCGTTTTCTTGTTCCATTTGAATCTCGGATACTGCAACGGTAATGGATGTTAGATAGTTGCACCAGTACATGTTAACGAGAGAAAGGTGTATCATGTCGAGGATCTTCGTTCACTTTAGCAATACGAAGGTAGACCTCAAATAGCGTTTACGTCGTTGTTGCACTCCAATAATCAGACCATTTGCTTTCTTTAATTTTAAACACAGTATCTACATACGCGTAGATACACCAGGCAGAAACACACGATGAGAAAACTATAAGAATTAATTCAAATCATAGAGGTGTCCTAAATTATTACGTTTCATGCAATCTGGTACATGTGAAAATGAATCTTTATTTGTTTAATTTATCAGTGATGATTTGATAAGTGTTACTACTGTAAGATAAAAATACTTTACAAACTAGGAGGCTTATGATCTTGTCTCTACTTCCGTAGATTTAACTTGTTTAAAGAAGTAAAATCAATCATTACAGCTGTTGCAAAATCTTGTGCAAACGTTTGGAACTCAATTACAGTTTTTTTTTCTGTTTAAGTAACTTATGTTTTTTTTAATGATTGTGGTCTATAGTTCAATAACAAACCAATTTACGTAAAGGGAATTTAAACATCGTTACATTTAAATAAATCAATAAAAATATTTACAATAGCTGTATGTAGTCGATTTAGAAATGTGTTCTTATTAAAGTGACCCCAAAGATTTTTATAGTAAAACCTTTAAAATCCTGTCCAGTAGCCCTTCTTTACATACTCGGCTTATCGGGTGACCGAAACTCTCGAAGTAACAAACCTTACGACGTGTGATATTCGCATCTAACAACTCTTTGTACGCTGATTTACTTTTAACTGGACAGATGCTCGTCGTGTTACATCTTACGTTACACCTCATAACGTTGCTCAGTACTCAGCTTTGGGATTCGAAGTTACGATCTCTTAGATTCGCAATACCTAATTTTGTACTCAGTTACTCAAAGAAACTTCACATATCCATAGATAAGTTATGTGTATTACCGTCCCTTATCAATCAATTCTTCCACAAAGTAAAAGAAAACGGTCCCGTTCTGAAGATCACGTTGAAGAGTTGTGATGTAAGATTTTGGTTCATACATGTTATGTGACAATTATAAAATGATCAAAAGTGTTTTATATGACAAATTAACGCTCAGTTATTAAATTAGCTATATTAGACATCTAATAGTACTACAACATTTTCACTTGCAACAATAGTATGGCCTTAAGCGTCTCTTCAATTGCTATAAAATAAAAAATATCTGGTACAATCTTTGTAACTCAACTCATCTATATTATAGCATTTTTTTCCATGTTTTATAGAGTATCTACTTATGATGAAAATGAAAACATCTTACCGGACTAGACAGCAACAAAGCACTGAAGAACCCATCCACTTTGTAGTCGTCATCGGCAGCAGTGACATTGTCGAAGATGATGTTTGTATGGTTGTAGAGAGTTGAATGCGTGGTGTCGCTGGTTGTCATGGCGACGAGGGAGACGCCCATGCAGGCGCGCATGCTGTAGCCCGTAGTCAGGCAGAAGAACAGGATGAGGCATTGCTGGTGTCTGTAGCCCCATCCTAGTGAAAGCAGTTCTTTATGTATATCAAGCGTAATTTTATTAAATTAGATGAAATCGTTTGAAAATAAATGCAATCTTGAGATAATAAATACATGCACTATTCTAGTGTGTCAATTAGGACTTAATACTTTTAATCTTCATTTGCCCACACATGTGACCAAAAGAATATCTTCCCCATTTAACTTTCATTTGCATTTTGTTTTAGACAATTGTTAGTGTTTTCAGCCTTCCTCAGCCTTCACAAATATAACATTGAATGTTGCGTAACAGCAAGTTTAAAATCATTTACATTATAGGATTTTGTTAAGTTTCATGGTATATCATCATTAAAGAGATATGCGTTACCTTTCAGCTCAGTGTCCGCGTCAAGAGTCTCTGCTGCGACCGTCTCGGCATCATTGTCATTGTACTTCATGGTTCAATCTGGCACCACTTCGACTAAACCTCGCTTCTTAACTTTGACGTTACATTGATGTGGATAACGACTCACCGCATCTATTTAAACTATCTACACTATCATAAACAAATATGTGATTTAATACCTATAAATTCTAGTTAATTTTTGTATTGACGTAGAAAAATTTCACAATCATGGTGTAATTGCAAAGTTTTCAATGAAAGTGTGACCTATCAAATGTAATATTGATTGAAAATTACAATTGTTATCGAATCGCATAACATTCATGTGATCCATAGATCAAAAAAAAATTCTGTCTCACAGTGTTCTCTGTTACATCGAACATTATGTGAAAAGTGAACGGATTCTTAATGCATACTTAAACTCGTAATGGTTATAATCTATAAAAGTGTATTTTGTAAGCAAGTTATAAAAATAACTTAACAATATGAGTGGTATTTTTAAATAACTAAAAACGTTATTTAATAACAGTAAATCCATTCATTAAACGTAAGTAACGAAATTTCTTATATTTAATGTCTTAAATATTTACTACATTACAATTAATTCGGATCTATTCAGACGGGTTACAGTATTGCAGAATCTCCAGGCGTGTCAATTTTTCACTAATTTATCTTTGCAAACAACAACTCTCAATGTTGTAGTACTAAGCTTTATTTCTTTATTAGTAGAATAAACGTAAGATATTAGTGGCTTTAAACTGATGTTACGTGGATATTAAACTATTAATTCGATATAAGATAGTTTAATTTATTGTGAACACACTGTGTTCAAAGTTTTTTGTTAACTAAAAGTAGCAGAAATCACAAACTAAATTACAGATGTTGCCTAACCTCAAAAATGCTATGACTATGGCATAGCGAAACAATCACTCACTTTTTGTATCAATTACTGTTTGAAGTAATTCTGCATTTTATTTTCCTTGTTCCACAGATTGTGCAATCTTCAAGCACAAACTCAGCTTTGACTTTGTCCATGGTTGTTGATACAAACATTTTTTTTCTGGACATGATTTCGTAAGTTGGCAGTTTTTATAATTTTACTTATACCAAATTTCGTACACAAGTACTTGTATCCATATAAAGTAATGCAAAATTAAAACACACTAAAAAATTTAACAGTTTTTAATTTATTCTTTAACACTTTCACGTCATCTGTACATCGCCGTGAAAATAAACAAACCATACAATTTTAAATTCATAACTTTTGCTCTGTCTTTAGCATAGGACTACATTCTTTAATAATTTCAGCAGCTTTGTCTTGTATCGGGTCATTCCAGTCTGCGCGCTCCCCAGTGCCCAAAATGATGTATACGAGGTTCGTAAAGAAGTACATACCGGCCGCCACGAAGAATACATGACGCCAGAGGAACTCGCTGGTCTGAAACATCAAACATTTTATATCTTACATATCCAATTTTTTTTCCAAACCAGAGGTCAAGTTAGTACTTCTTCGTTCTTCGTGGTAGTCTACGAAGTCACTTAGCATAAAGATTTTACTGTAATCGTAATAGTTTAAGGTAGGTAATGGAATCTTCTATTCACATCTTCCTTCATATGCTTTGATAATTTTGACATCATCAAGACAACACCCAATTGATACTATGCTATTAACTTAACTTGGTAGACACTTACAACATCAGTAAGGATCATACCGGCCACTATAGGTGCCAGAGAACCGCACAAGTTGGACATGAAGTTGCTGAGACTCATCATGGTCCCCGAGAAGTTGGGAGATATGTCGATATGATTCACCTGAAATTAATAAGCCAGCCTCAGTCTTAATGCATGACGGCATTTCTTTTCATATGCTTTTCATAAAATAATACTTACGTAAACTCCGACGTGGGTCGCGACTTTGAACCCGCAAAGTATCACCAGAACACTTTCTACAATCACCAATTCTTTGGGCACAAATGCTAGCACCACTAAACCAACTGCCGCTAGAATGCTGCCTGAAAATAAAAATTTAAAAGGTAAAAAACAACAAATCACACTGTGAAGTTGTAAAATGTTACTTTCTTTCTGTTACCAATAAAAAAAAAGTATGGAAAGACATGGTTGGCATTCAAAACTTACCTACAGAATTAGCAAGTTTCCTGGTGTGTGTCACACTGAGGATCTTCTTGATGATCAGTTTGTCAGCGGCCCAGCTGAAGAAGAAGTTGGTGAACCACATGACAAGGAACGGAAGAGCTGACAGCAAACCGTTCTATAAAATAGAAATGCAAGGATAATACAAAAGGTTTGTCGCATGTTTCGAAGAATTAATAAAAAATCAAAATTAAAAATCCAAGTTTTTTAAGCCATTCAAAATTTAATTCATTCATAGCAACTCCCTCATTAATTCTAATAAAAAAAAATAAGTATAGACAACCTAACCTACATTTGAGTATAAGTTGTGATGTGATGCTTAAACCTTATCTAAATACATTAGCTTTGATTTTACCGCTTTAATGTTGACTCCCATGACTTTATCCATGAATGCGGGCACCTCTGAATACAGAGTCAACTGGCCCCAGGTCTGGCCGATGTGAGCGATGATGATGGCCAACATGCCGCGGTGGGTCAAGATACTTCTCCACGGGACTGTCTTTGGTTTCTACAAAGACAGAAAAATAATAAGTATGCTGTGCTTAGCTGGCAGCAATGTCACATTTAAAGGGTGCACTATCAGATTTGTGGAAACGAAAACGCAAGGACACCAGTTATAAATATTGTAACGCAAATTTTTTAAATATTAAAGTGAAATAAACTCACTCTAGAGTCATCAGTAGGGCCTATATCATTTTCGATATACATTTTTTCGGCAAGTGTTATTTTGGGATGTTTGGCCGGCGTGTCGGCTGTCATGTACCAGATGAGGGCGCCCACGAGCGCCGCCAGCACGCCGTAGAAGCGGAACACGCCGGGCCATCCCAGCGGAGAGGACGCGATGAAACCAGTCACTGGGAGACCCACCACGGGACCTAAGGCTTGACCTAAAAAATCAAATGAAAGTTAAAGTTATTTGATCAATTAATTACATCATTACAACAATGTTCAAACCATCAGGTACAATCACATCAACGTATATGATTACTTAAACCAACCTCCGTATGCCCAAGCACTAAGGCGACTTCTTTCTCTCAGTGGTGTCCATTTGCCGAGGAAAGTGTGCATGCCTGGTACAATACAGGCTTGACTCAATCCTTGGGTCATTCTGAAGATTAACACCCATATCCATCCTCCCTGTTGACAATTGTCAAAAAACAGATGAGTCCCACACAGACTATTGCTATAGGCACAAAAATAGACATACATAAAAGAGGGAAACAATATGAGAAATAAGGAAAGATGAGAAAATTGCAATAAAAATTGGAAAAAGATTAGTCTTTAGCCGTGAAAACGTTTCGAAATACATAATAAGCGGCCCAGGGCAGGCAGAAGGATACGAGGGCGTTGGCGAAGAGCGCGCCAGCGAGAAGGCGCCGCGCGCCCCATCGGTGTGCGAGCTGCCCGGCCGGCACCTGCAGCATCATATAGCCCCAGAAGAACGACGCCAAGATCGTATCCTGTGTCTTCTTGTTCCATTTGAATCTCGGATACTGTAACATATCAAACCTCTAGTCAACAACTGTTTTTAAACATTTGAACGAGATCAAGGTCAGAGGAACTACATCCAATGTTCACCATACATATTAACATAAAATTTTTAGGTTTTTTTTTTTAAATATTTTGTTTGTATATGTCTATAGTTAATGGGTTAGTGATAGAGTTAATGTGGAGAAGTAGGAATCCTATTTGAGAACAAGCGCATTGTCATTCAATCAATTATTGAAACATCGATATACTATGAACATTTTTTAACATTATTTTTGAACTCTAAAAATAAACCTTTATTTACTCAAGGTTTTGGTGAACAGCTTGATAAGGGTTACAAATGTATGATAAAATATTTTTTAAGCCTCTTTCTGCTTCCGTGGATTAATTTTGTTTAAATAACTATAAGAAAACAACACTGCGGCGAATATGTGTTAAAACATATTTTATTTCAATTTAAAATTTCAGTAATTTATATGGACGATCGTGTAAACCGTTATCAAGTAGACTAGAAAAACAAAAAGAGCTTACAAAAAATATACCAAAAATAAACAAGCATGATAAGACTTCATAGAATAGTTAATATTGGGATATTAGACAAACTAGACTCATATAAATATGTAGTTCCAAAAAGGTTAGTATTAAAGCCTCACCGGACTAGACAGCAACAAAGCACTCAACACCCCATCCACTTTGTAGTCGTCATCGGCAGCAGTGACATTGTTGGA